CTGCACTCCAGTCTGGGCGACAGAGTGAGACTCCAACTCAAAAAAAAAAAAAAGAATCTATGCTCAGTGGAAAGCCACTGAAATGGTTTAGGCAAGAGCTGAGGATGGTCAGTAGGATGGTGGGATGGGCACAGGGAGACCAGTTGGGAGGTCAGTGTAATGGTACAGATGGTATACCATCTGGCGGTGTAGGAGAGAAGTAGAGGAAGTTGAAATATAACAATGGGGCAAAATTTAAGAGAGGATGATGTTAGGATGATGCTGGTGCCATTGCTGAGCTAGGAAACACAGGAGAGGTCAGACTTTGCTTTCCAGCACTGGGGGAGGGATCGGCAAGATATCACAAAGGAATTGAAGCTTGAAGCTTGAGGTTGGCCTTGAAAATGAGTAGGCATTTCCTAGATGGCAAAAGGATTATCACGTGCAAAGGCAGAGTCGTAACCAGAGTAGCACAAATAAATTCCCACATATATATGTACTGTGGATGTGTAAAGCACATAGCACAGGCCAGGAACATAGTAAATGTTCAATCAGTGTTAGTGATCACTTTGACTATCACTGATAACAGGACTTACCTTAGTCAGCAGCACATATATGAACACATATATGAAAGAGGAGTTGTTATGGAACTCATAAGTAATTTTGCTGATGTCTTAGTATGCTCATATTTATTTTATGTTGCAGTGATTCTGAGACCTATAGTATGTACAATTTGTAAGTAAATAAACATGTCTAAGTTTTTTTTTAATCATGCCTATCTTATATATAGAAATTTCTCTATATCCATATCTTTGTTTAGGGATTCACACAAGGCTTTTGATTTTCTTATGTGCCTTCTTTCCAGTGAAATTTAACCATTTATAAAGGACATGGATTTTAGGTTTTTACTTAGTTTTGGCATATGGATTTGGGATTATCTGGCATTTTTAATTTACTGAAATAACTATCCATTTATATTCAATTGAAATATGAACATGTTGGTTTCAGTTGAGCTTGAGAATTAAAATCAAAGAATAGTCAAATCCCAAAAGAGTTAGTAATATTAAGACTTAGGTGATGTTTCTAGGGAAAACGCTAGGGAAAATAAAGTGATGTTGATTTGATATATAACTTTTTACAATAAGTGCAGAAGTGTTGATAGAAAGATCAATTTTGGAGCAATGATATAGTACTGGGATTATGAGCATGACTTCTGTGGGCTATAGATATAAATTCTGACTTCAGCATTTGCTAACTGTATGTACTCTCATGTTTCTTGCCAATAATACAGAGGTAATAATGATTATTAGCCACCTCACAGGGTGCAGTGGAGTGGAGGTAGTATATGTAAAGCACATAGCACCTTGCCAGGAACATAGTAAATGTTCAATCAGTGTTAGTGATGACTTTGACTATCATTGATATCAAGGCTTACCTTAATCATCAGCAGAAGGGCATGTACAGTTTTGAAAGGGAAAGTCAGACTGAAATGGTAAATACGTGTACAGAATTTGCATAACTTTGTGGCTAGAAGGAATCTTAGAGAACATCAAATTCAGCAGTGTTCCTGACATTTGCTGAAAAACACGAACTACTTTTTATGTCTCTGAAATCTTGGAATCATTAAGCAGAGAAGAAGGGGGAGAAACAGGACCATATTGATGTCCTTAAGATCAGGAGATGAGGTGGGAAGCAACTCCTGACCAGAATCCCCTTATCCCTAGACCTGCTGCTTTGTCTTTGCTTCTGAGTTTTTGATATTCTGACTTAAGAACTGTGTGTGTGTGTGTGTGTGTGTGTGTGTGTGTGTGTGTGAGAGAGAGAGAGAGAGAGAAAGAGAGAGAGATTATGCAGTATGATGTTTCTCTTCTGTGACTTTAGCTCATGTGAATGAAGGCCACAGAAGCTGCCTAATGTCATGGGAATATTGTTTTTATTATTACAGGTCTAGGCATCATACACTGAGATTCTCTACTGCCACCCTTTCTACTCAAGCAACATCTTTGTGAAAAGATCCTCTGGAAGGAATTGACAACTTATGGTTTTCTGTTGTGATAAAAGCACATGGTACAGGTAAATATCTACAAAATCTTTTACCAAAAAAAATTATCATTTAGTTGTAAAGTTTCCAAGATGGTGGTGGGGTATATATATATGTATTCTTCTTCCACACACACATGCATGCACAACATAAAACTTATCTATATATTCACATATTCTCCATCTATTATTCTTCCTGCCTCTTTTATAAAAATGGAATCCTTGCTTTTGGGGGGGGGCTTCTTATGTTGATGTCATTGATCAGGATAGATAACAAGGCATTGATAAGAAAGGAATAATTCTGAAGGCAGTGTTCATAAATTCAGCTAGAGAGACAAGTAGTAGTGGAGAACAATACAACATATACTCTTATCTAACCTTTTGTTCCCTTCAACCAGAGTCTAATAATAATCATCTTTCATAGAAATAGATATTTTTGTACAACATAATTTTTAATGATTATATAGTATAGTATACCATTGAACATATATCCTAAAATGTATTTAGTTGACTCCCTCTAGTTGGACAGTTAGTCATTTCTGATTTGTTATGCTTTTATGATACCAAAAAGACTGTTATAATTCTCATTATTAATGGTTTCTTTAGGATAATTTCTTAACAGTAAACTCTTACACTTAAGAATTTTCAAGTATTGAGACTTTTGATAACTTGTTGCCAAATTACTTTCTAATCAAGTCATACTGGTTTATATATCCAGAGGCAATTTATGAGAATATCTACTTCTATACAACTTTCCAATGCAGGAATTTTAAAAACAAAAAGAGTTTTGCCAATTTATTATGCAAAATGGTGTTGCCGTGTTTTATTTTGTTTTGTTTTTTGAGAGGGGTCATTTATTTGTAAATCATACTGTTTTGATTTACAATCTACTGTAGACCATAGCATACTTGACATAGATTTTGACATCTGAGGAATAATATTAAATCAAGAAGGAGTAGAAGTATCGAATTTTAAATTCTTCCTTTTTGGCCAAGTATTTCTAGACAACTATGAAATCTCTGGATAGTAATAATTTTCCAGTGAAGAACATAGTTTTACACTTCTTAAAAAGAATTTTAAAAGTATTTCATAAAAAACCTTCATTACACTTGTATCTGAAGTTATACTGCTCATGAGTTTAAAAATATGTATGTACATGTATGTCCAATATTGGGAACATGATTAAATATAACTATGGTAGCGCCATATGATGTAGAAACTGTAGATCACAGTAGAAAGGCTGCAAGCTTCAGGCTGTCTGGGCTCAGTTTCCAGTTCTGCTTCCTCGAGGTGTGACATTGGGCAAATCTACATCTTGATGTCTGCATTTGTAAAACGTAGATAATAATAGTACCCATCTCACAGGGTGTTGCAAATAAATATATGTAAAATGTTTAAAATTGTTAAAACTCCCATTTTAAGCAAATAGTTAATGGCATGAGAAAATGATCATAATGGAAGTAAACAAATGTAATGATTGGCATGAACCATAGTCTAGTTCCAGTCTTGCAAAATTATTTTTTCTCTTCTTCCTCCTTTTCGTCCTCCTCTGATATCTAAAAAAGTTTAATGTATTTCTGAATGGCTGTAATTTGCATCAATGGAGTAATCCCAATCCTGGAGGGACTGCCTGATTGAAGTCTTCAAGTCAGAGACCCATGTTCCACAGAGCTTTGAAATCATCGCTGCCTGTTTTGTCTGGCTAGGGGCACCCTTGGAGCAGCCACTGTATGAGAGCAGAACCTCCTTCCCACCTGGGGCTGCTTCATTCCCATGGTACAGCAAGTGCCTTGGGCCAGGCAAGCTTCCTGGCCTCTTGTGAGCCGCACAGAGAGAGTTTCTAACCGTCTGGCACCATATGTGAGCTGCCCTACTTGGCTCATCTCTTTCCATCATTACTAAATAAGCTTCATTTCACTAAATAAATGAAAGAAAAGGTAGAATAAGAGACCACCAGCTCTTAGGAAACGTATGCTTTATCCTACAGAAGCACAGAAGGGAAAACGAGAGGGTTGTGAGTCTTTCAAGCTTTTGACTGCAACATAAGGTTGACAAGTAAGAGGAAAAGGGTCCAAAGAATTATTTGGCATTAAGGAGACAAGCATAGGGCGACTTGCATGGCTTTAGTCACTGCCTTTCACTGGTTACCCTGCCACTAGCCTGTGTATGTAGATGCTGCATTTGTTTTGGCCCTAATTTCTGGTCTAATTTGAACAGCTCGGTATTTCTCAGCAAAAGAGGAACATCTGAATTCCTAATTAAGACATTTTAGCTTAAGAATACCTCTTTAATGGGTCATAAGTTATTCTCCTCTAAGTGATTATGAGGATGAATAAGAAAATAAAACTTGTATTTACACACTCATGTACGTTATTTCAACAAAATTAAAGAGGGAGAGGACAAGAAACGTGTCAGCAAATATAGGTCAGGAAAAGAGTTCACAATATTTTGCCAAACTCTGATGAGGCACCTCATGAGTGGAGGTAGAAGGCCACACGTAGTGGTAGTGAGAGTGGTAATAACACTACCATATGGAACATTTGGTATTTGGATAGCACTTAGCTCCCTCCCAAACTACAGAATCAATAGAGACTCAAACAGAGAGGAAGAAGCGATTCTCTTGCTGTGGATTGCTGGCTGGTGTGCAGAAATGCAGACCTGTTGATTATTATCAAGGGCTTACCATAGTATATTTCTCTAAGGAGCAGGAGAGTGGGGAATATTTAACCATATGTATTGTGGTCTTGAATCTGTAGTCCAGCAGTTTTTGGTTGTCTCCATACATTACACATGGTTGCCTAAACCTTTATCATGTAGAAGACATATCTGCAAGACTAGGTCAAATCACTGTTGAAAACTCAGTTCACAGAGTCCCCTAGGGGTTTTGGGGGACATCTTAGGATTTTGCCAGTATAGAATTAAAGCATAGCTCTTGAAACTGAGACATTATCTTTACATTTTGATTTCATACAGTCCTTCATCACTCATTTACTCATTTGACAAATGCTTTTTTCGGGGTAACTATGTTCTGGTATAGAACTAGTTATAAGAGCCAAGGAGAACAACAAGATAGACATCACACCTGGCTTAATGGAGTCTGCAATCCTCAGTACGCAATCCACAATATCATAACTGGTTTGGGTGAACAGGGGAGCTGAACTGGGCCACTCTAAAAGGAGGGATGGAGTACGTCTGAAATGAGAAACTGGGGAAGCCAATGGAGAAAGACGTGTTGATCTGGAAAGCATACAGCAGAAAGAAGCAGAGAACAGTCAGGGAGTGGCAGGTTGTGATTGTTGACAGCAGGACTAGATTGGGCAATGAAGAATGAAGGAGTGAAGCCTGCTGTCAGACTCCTCTTTAGTGCACAGTCACTAAGGCTAGTGAAAGTCATGCAGCTATAAATCTCTCAATTTAGGTAATCTAAATAATGCATCTTGTTAATAATCCACATCCATAAGAAATTGTGAAATGAATCTTTATTTTCTATGACTATATAAATATGTTAGACAGAAGAGTGGATGTCACCCTGTCTTTACTGTGAGATATATATACATATATGTATATCTTTTTAACAGCCACCCAAAGGAATAATTGAGGTGATTGCTTTGCCAGAACACATTTACCTTAACTCTATCCCTTTTCTTACTTTATCTGCCATAATTCACCTTAGAGAATGAAATTAATTGTATAATTAATTATACCTTTTATGCACCTGCATAATTAACATTATTTAGTTCTCTTTAAACATATTTTAGGTTCCAGATCGAAATAATCGCTCTGTCACATTTTGACCTTTTTAGTATTTGGTACCTTTCCACTCAGCATTGTTTGTGGGATTGTGGTTCTTTTTACTTTCCTCCCCCCATGCCTGGGTGCTTTTATTTAACAGGATCCATGCAGGTATTTCTTTTATCTCTTTTTGATCACCAACAAGTGTTTAGCAAACACTACATTTTTGGCCTTGAATTTATTATCTTTGATGGACCATTTTTCTCTCTGTTATCCCTCCCTGGTCAACTGCTGTCTTCTGGGGCTCAAACGTCTATCATGTACTCTACTCAGATGTTTTTCCTTTCTTTGACAAGCCCAGTTTAGTTGTTCATTCCACTACCCCATCCACCCAACATATACTGTGCAATCTGGAACATAGGGTTCAGGGATTTGTAATGTACACTTCTATAGTTAAGAAAACTCTATTGATACCCATTAAGTATTAAAAGTAGAGATCTCCCCAAAATTTATCTTTTCAGCATAAATATACTCTTCCCTTTTCCATCACGTTTTCTTCAGTCTGAAGGTACCCTCCATAACTCATAGCCAGTGTGGGGGGAAGGCATTATTTTGAGACAAAAATGAAAAATGTAGGGTCAAATACACAAGAGTACACTGTGTTCTATATGTAGCTTTTAAGACTATTTTGAAGACTTTAAAAAATAGTTTACCAGGCTTCTGTATGAAGCATTTTATTCTCTGAAATTTTGATAAATAATATGATTTCTGATGTTAGTGTTGAAACATTCATACAATTGTAATAACTTTCATAAAATAAAGTGGAATACTTTGTCATCTGACAGAGTAGAACTCATTAGAAAATGGTTGATATCAAAGCCTACCATTTTTTTTTCCATGTTGGCTCTCGAAAGCAGAATGCTACCAAAATTTCCTCTACCCAGAACACTCATGCCACTTTTAGTGTTAGCAGAGTGTACTATTCAAAGTGTGAGCAATGAGTAGAGGTAGAAATACAACTTTGAGACAACTTTGCAAAATGACCATATTTCTGTGGTACTTTTCAAATTACTATTTTTTCTCTTAGAGTTTATCGAATGAAATTAAGCATTTAAATATGTTTTCTCAATTGCAAAACGTTAGATATTATAGCTTTTGATGTTACAGTATTTAGAAGTGAAAGAGATAATGAAGATTAGTAGAGCCCTTTTTCCCTAACTCAGGACCTGCTATCTGAATATCACTAGTGCCTTTCATTTCATCAGTGTTCAGATAGTGAGTCATTTACTCATCAATTGTTG